AGAGAGAGAGAGAGAGATCCACCTTTAAAATGTATTATCTTAATAAATTATTCTAATCATTGTAAGAGCACTTCTGATAATGATTAGTACTATCAAATTTTATTAAACCAATTACAAAATCTAACATACCACTTCAACATTTTTAAAGTATAAAAATTTTCAGCTACATGCCATGGTTTTATAAAGTTTTCTCAGAGAAGTAAAGGAACAATACCCATGAGGGAGACTATTTCTAAATTATTAAATTATGCTAAAGAATGCAAATAAAGTGCAATTTAAAAATCTAAAAATTGTACCTTATCATGTCCCACAAACTATGTAACTATGTCCGTGTTGCCAATTTGAGATGTGAATGCCTGAATTATAAAGCTGAATATTTCATAGCTGTTAGATCATAGTAATTGGCCAAAGAATTTGCTTTAGATATCCATTTAAAAGACAGCCTTGTTATACTGTGACTTAATTGCATTAAAAAAACAACTTTTATTTTAGTTATACTTTTTCATTGACATCTAGTCATATAAAACCTTGGTTCACTCTCATGCTCCTCAAATAGTTTGGTTTAGTGCACAGAAAGTTTTCTTTTAACTATTATACGATTAAGTATGTCCTTATGAATGATCAGAAGCATCTGGGAAAGGTGGAAGTGAAAAAAATCCTCACTGGGAAAGTCAGCTTAATGTTGCCCTTCAGAGTGGCCCATTATCAACATTTCATAGTGGGTTTCTTTATTTTCAGGTCCCTGAGGTATATGCAATAAATTATGACTTGAACTAAACAAGTCACACTTGGCTCCAAAATGAAATTTTCCTACCTCTACTTTCTAGTCCCTAAGGTGGGAAGAGGAAATCCTGGTCACAGCCAAAGAAGTTATATTTTTGGCTCTAACATACATTTTCCTGCTTCTCAAAAAGCCAAACTTTGCTATTGAGACTGCAAAATGTTAAGTTAGTATTTTAAATGGTATTTTAATTTTTACTTCCATAATCTTTCTCAAATTTAAGGAAAAAAATTAATATCATAAAATTTAATGTCATTGCCTTCTTTTTCTCATTCAAATCACTTTTCTAACTCAGAACAATGATCTTAACTTTTTTTTTATTAAATCATGGCTGTGTAACATTAATGGAATTATGGGGTACAATGTGCTGGTTTTATATACAGTTTGAAACACTTTCATCAAACTGAAGATCAGCCATCACTGCATTGATCTTAACTTTTTAAATATGAATTCAAATGAAGTAGAGAAGATAATATGAAAACTAGTTGTTTCTATAAGATAAAATACTTATATTTTTCATTTATAAATAAATTCTACTTATTTCTGCATGACAGACTGAGCATGAATGTAAAAGAAAACTATAAAGTTCAAAAATAAAAAAAAATAAAACCATAAAGTCCTAATTTAATGCCCTGTAATTTGAAGCATAGTTTTAGTTATAGAAGAGTCATTTACAGAAATTACGTAGTTTATTATCTCCCTTAACAAAGCTCAAGAGTATGGCGGATAACCCTAAGGTGACACACAGAAGAGTCATAGCTTTATAATGCTCTCCCCTTGAGGGCAGAACCTATGACTTGCTTTTAACCAATAGCATATGGTAAGCTATATGGTTATGGGACAGTTACTCCCTTGATTAAGTTATATTATAGCCAAAGGTGATGAGAAGTTACTCCTGTAATTTAATTTTTCAAATTTAAATTTTATTTTTATTTTCTTTCCATAATTTTATTAAGTTGTATAAGACTCTGTCTCAGCTGAATGGAGGTAGAGAGTCCTAATGGCCTTGAAGAAATAAACTGCCATGTTGTAAAATTAGAAAGAACCTCAGTCCTACAACCACAAAGAACTGAATTCTGCCAACACCCTGAATGAGCTTGGAAGAGGACCCGAAGCTCCGGATGAGAACACAAGCCTAACCAGCACCTTGGCTGTAGTCTTGTGGAACCCTAAGCTAAAGACCCTACTAAGACTCCTGACCCAGGGAAACTGAGATAATAAATATATGTTGTTTTAAGTTGCTATTTGTTACATGGAGACAGAAACCTAATACCAATAGTGACAGCCAGTATACTCACTGTAAGATGCTCCATTTATTATGCTCTGTATGTATTCAAGTATTAGGTGCGATTGATTGAGCACTTCCTCCTACAAATCCTTTAATGATTCATGACTATAACAGCACATTGTATTGCCTCCTTATGAGTCATATTAATGTTTACTACCATCCTGTTCATTATTATCTAATCTAATTAATCTATCCGATCTAATGACTCCACCTAATCTAATTACTATCATTTCTGTGCCTGGAAGTCTTTAGGAATGGAGGGTGGTGGTTATTTCCTGAAACAACAAAACCAAATACAATTTTGGGGCTAATGCAGTGGCTCATGCCTGTAATCCTAGCACTTTGGGAGGCTGAGGTGGGTGGATCATCTCAGCTTAAGAGTTCAAGACCAGCCTGAGCAAGAGTGAGATCCCATCTTTACTAAAAACAGAAAAACTGGCCAGATGTAGTGGTGTATGCCTGTTGTTCCAGCTACTTGGGAGGCTGAGGCAAGAAGGTCATTCAAGCCAAAAGTTTGAGGTTGCTGTGAGCTATAATACCACAGCACTCTACACTGAAGCAATGGAGTGAGACTCTGTCTCAAAAAAATAAAAACACAAATACAATTTTAATAACTTCTATTAAGTGCTTGCTTCAGTAGCACATATACTAAAACTGGAACGATACAGAGAAGATTAGCAGGGCCCCTGCACAAGGATGACCTAAAAATTCATGATGTGTCCCATATTTTAAAAATAAATAAATACTTCTAATAAATCTCCACTCAATCATTAATTAAAATATTTATTGCTATGTTAACCAGTTTGATGGAAGTGTTTCGGATTGTGTGTGAAAACCCCACACTGTACCCGAGAAGTGCATTAATGTATATAGTTACCATTCAATTAAAAAAAAATTTAAAAAAAAATTTATTGAACACTACATTCAATATTTTAATTGCAAAGACAGAAAGATGCTTAAGAAATTATTCAAGGCATATCATCTAACATTATAAAACATATTTACTATGTAGAAGCACTAAATATGTCCTTTAGGAAGCAATAAAGGACACTGGGAAAGGTTTCTACATAGGTAATATTATTATACTTTTGAATTGTAACTCCCTTTCACCCTATGATTTAAAAGGCGAATGCATAAAGCAATAATTACAAATTATGTTAATGGACACATAATGAATAAAGATACAATCAGTGACAATAATATAAAAGGGGAGAATTAAGATGATTGTTACAATTCCCAGTGTATACACTAACAAAATAACTAAACAATATACATAAAAGGAAAGAAAAAGAGAATCAAAATAGTATACTATGCAGCAAACACAAAAAAGGTAACAATGAAGGAATTGAGGAACAAAAAGCACATGACTCACAGAAAATAAACAGCTAAATGGCTGGAATAAGTCTTTCTCTGTCAGTAATTACTTTAAATGTACAGGGCTTAAACCCTCTTCACTTGAAAGCCAGAGATTGGTGAAATGAATTTCAAAATATCTGAGCCAACTATATGCCATTAATAAAAGACTCACTTTATTTTTTATTTATTTATTTATTTATTTTGAGACAGAGCCTCAAGTTGTCGCCCTGGGTAGAGTGCCATGGCATCACAGTTCATAGCAACCTCCAACTCTTGGGCTTGATCAAGCGATTCTCCTGCCTCTGCCTCCCAAGTAGCTGGGACCACAGGCACCCGCCACAACACCTGGCTATTTTTTGGTTGCAGCCATCATTATTGTTTGGCAGGCTCACGCTGGATTTGAACCCTCCAGCTCAGGTGTATGTGGCTGGCACCTTAGCTGCTTGAGCCACAGGCACCGAGCTTAAAAGATTCACTTTAAATATAAGGAATTGAACTTCCTACCTCATACCATATAGAAAAATTTACTCAAAATGCATCAGATACCTAAATTAAAGAGTTAAAAATATTAATATAAAACTCTTCAAAGAAAACATTAAGGGCAAATTTGCATGATCTTGGATTTGCCAATGGTTTGTTTTCTAAATGACACCAAAAGCACAGGCAACACACAAAAAAGTAAATTGGACTTCCTTAAAATGTGAAACTTTTATATTTTTTATATCCCACACAGATATAAAAATAAATATTTTCAACAACTTGTTTAACCACTTAAAAATATTTTAAGAAACCATCCACAAAGATGCTCTGATTTATTTCAGGTATTTCAGGTAATGATTGCTATCTTCTTAGTATTTACTGCATGGCCAGACTCTCAAAACTTATAAACATGAGTCTAATGAATGGATCTATAACAAATATTCTTAGCTATACATAAAATGCCAGGGCTTGAGGATCCTTTTTGGAGTCATGATTCTAAGTCCTTTCCCATATGTGGTGGGAAATATTCCCTTTCAACCCAACCTCATAACTTTGAGATTATGCATGGGACGTACTTTGGGCAAAAGGAGATGAGCAGATGAGATACAAATAGATATGTGAAAAGTGCACAAACCTGCCCTCTTGTACTTCTGCCACTACAATGATAACATGTTTTGACTAATCTGTTGGTCTATGGAGAATGAGATACTTATAGAGCAGAGCTGACCTAGCTGAGCCCAACCTAGATTAGCCAACCAGGGTGACTGAGCCCAGCTAAAATGAACAGACCTGCCCAACCAAGCCCAAGCCTAGATCACTTGCCACCCAATCACACCACAGATGTGTGACCTGTAATAAATGAGTGTTGTTTTAAGTAATTAAGTCTTAGAATTGTTATACAGGATGAACTAATCCAGACATATGGCAACAAGAAACACATTTCTCTTACATCTGGTACTCCGAGTAAAGAATTTCCCTCTTTCCTATCCTTTTCCCCTGCAGTTTGATCTATTCTTGGGTCGATCCTACTTGATCTTTTCAGGAACCACTTGGGAAAGTCCTTAAGAATCACCTTCCTCCCCTCTACCCAGAACTCACTGATGGCTTCTGCTGTTATACACACTCGAGCCACTGGGATTCAGATCAACAGAACCGTTACAAGTAGGATCATGACTAGAAAGTGTCAGAGTAAGAAAGGTTGAGATGTTACCTAGGAAGAATTTATCCTGAGGAAAAAAGCATTAAGAATCTAAGGTTGGAATAATAACTATGGCCAGAATCATAGTTGTTGGTGTGAAGGTGGGGAAAAAAAAGAAGGTAAATAAAATGTTCTTTCTTCACAAAATTTTTTTAAGAATTTTTGAAATAATAACAAAGGATAACATAAAACTTCCTATATCCTCCTATTTTTTATTAAAAATTATGGAAAAAATTAAAGGTCCTTTTGATAACTAATCCCAATATCATTTACTTCTTTTCTATTGTAATCAGTATTCTGGGTTTGATATGAATCCTTTCAGGCCTTGCTACTTTGTTTAGTACAACCCAGTGTTATCCATAATGTTTATCTTCTTTTTTTTTTTTTTTTTT